TGCTTCGGATCTTGAGATGGGGAGATAGACAAAAAAAAAAGAGAAGGAAAGACTGATTTAGATTATTCTTACACACAATGGAAAAATAATGAGCTTAATCATTTCCACTACAGGTAATTTGGCCCATCTGAATCTTTTCTAAGTCCACGGAGAACATCAAAGATAGACAAACAAGCAAATTTAGCCCACTTGTGGTTTGCTGATTAGACTTCATAATAGTTTTTACACGTTAAACATGTTTAGTCAAGTAACCTAAAAATGCACTTCATGTGGTAACATCGGGTCACACCACAAGTAATAGCTTGTTAAGGTAACAACTGTAAGGTTTAGCATTTTGAATACATCTTCTATTTGAAAACTACTATGTAATATGCTAAAGGAATATGCTTATTTCACTTCCAGAGAATTATCATGCGCATCAGTGTTCATCTAAATGTATTTGTAGTCTTCCCATTTCTCACATACCAGCCTGCAGGGGAAGGTCTGCGGATATCCTGAGACTGAAAGGAGGACCACCAGTAGTGGCACCACTGCATGACAGAGCACGATGGACAAGCGATCGAACACCGGCATCTTAACATGATCACTGTAATGAAGTAATAAAACATGACCACAATTATATATAAATATATGTTATTAGATATTAAAAGGATATTATTAGACACTTACAGATACTTTTTTATTTATGCTTTATGTAAATGCACTATTACATGAACACTTTACAGTGTCCATGTAAAGGTGTATTTACAGAAGTATTTTTGAAGTTCCTAAAATATTATTTTGTAAATCCACTTGACATTACACATTGCTGTTGCATTAGAATGTAATTTTTGTAATATATGAGTACACAAACACTGTAATATAAAGTGCATCTCAAATCTTTTAGACACTAAAATTCTTCCTTTAAGACACTCCATTTTCAATTTTTATATCATAACAGAAAATACTTTTGACACCTAGCGGTCTACGTGTGGCAGGGACAGCGGAAATTTGTGGCTGCAGCTAACATCAATCGACTCCAGCCAACTGTGATACAGGTTATAAATCAGATTGACAAAATGCACACATTTTGTCACAGTCATTAATCAATATACACTGGCCCTAAAAACATTTGGACACTTAGGTCAAACTTAAAAACGTATTAATGTCACTGCATTACCAAAATACCTAACCAAATGGCATTTATTCAAAAGAAAGAGTCACTTCAAGCTTAAATTGAAGACATATTACTTTGAATAAAACAAATTTAAATAATAAAAAAATTTATCATTTTTAATGATCAATTTTAAATATAAAAACAGTATATACTGCACATAATTGAAGTTCACTCTTAAAAATCTAAAAGGTCATCATTTGAGAGATCTAAAAAAGTCATTTGTTTGTTGATGCCAGTTGGTTTGATATTTTGTTTTCTAATTTTATTTGACCTTTTGAGTGTGACCTACGAGTCCAATTACTTTTGGGTCCACTGTATGCATCAAAGGTAAGACACAATATCCTGCAAACAGTTAAAAGAGCTCGATCACCACAAAAATTGATAATATTGCGCCTTTGAGTAAGATACGGCAGGTGACTATCCCTGTAATGAGTGTACTGAAAGTCGTATTAAATCAAAGACAAACCAAAAGACAATGTGCTATTAAACATTCACCCTGGCCGTTTCACATTTATACACAGTCTGACGTGAGTATACCGGGCACGCTTACCCCAGTGGCCAGGATCGCGCCCTCCGCTCCTCTGTGAAGTTTACAGAAGACCATTACATCAGTTTGCGGGGAGGTTCTGTTGGCTTGGTCTCTCCGGAGATGCAAAGTGCTTGACATCTGCATCTCTGCAATGTCTTTAGTAATTGCGGAAGCAAGCAAGCAACGGAAACGCAGTCACATGAAGGCAGCCAAGATCATAAATTTCACACACACGAGCGCGCGCACACACTGCAGGGTCAGAAATATGCACGTTAAATATGTAAAAATCGACCACTTCCCACAACAGCAAAAGTATTTCGGTTTCAGTAGGCTAACGGAGCAGGAGAATGAGCATGAAGGACATTTAATGGTTCTTACATAAAAAAACATGAGGAAAAATATTAACGTGATAACCGTCGCGCGTGGAGGTGCAAAAAGCACCTGTAAAAGTTGTATGTTGCACAAACATTTCGACCTTACTTCTGTCTTGTTCAGTAGACCACAAACCTACCAAGTGAACACACCCAAAGCACCCACTACTGGTTTCACTCATCAGATACTACTCGAGAGGAAACCACCAAGAGCTCACACCCTTCCTGCTAGAAAGATGCAGGCCCATCACTTCTGCTCGTTGAAACCGTCACATTCTTCTCACAAGCTGTGCTAAAGTGAAAACTTTTGAAAACGTTCACGCGTGCCACACTGCTTCATTAACAAACACGTCTGCTGATAGCCATCAGCCTAAAAGCGATCCCGTTTTTTTCATGACAGTAATGTATCTCACCGCAGCCCATTTTAATTTCCCTGCAGTAGCCTACATTGCACAGCAAAAAGAAAGGCGTACGGATTATAGAGTGCAATCAAGTGTGACCTGTTTTAAGGTGCTGCATATACAAAAACCTTATAGTTTCACATAAATAAAACGTCTGAAGTGCTAAAAAATAAGCACATTTGTGCTTGCTCGTGCAAGACTTGTGTTGTGTGTGGTTCCCAGACCATGGCTTGTGGTTGCCATGCAGTTGCTAGGCTATTGCTAGCACACATACATCACGGAGACGTCTATTTGACGTCTGCAGATGTTTAGAAGATGTTTGTAAGATGTTTATGATTTAGAATGTATGTAAAACTGACATCTTAAAGATGTCTATCAGATGTTTGTACACAGCAGATGCTTTCCAGATGAAGCGATCTTTAACAGACATCTTGCAGACGTGCGCATGCTATCTGGGTTGTAGTGTGTTGCTGTGCCCTTGTGTCGGGACATTTTAGTGTGTTGCTATGCAGTTGCTAAGGTGTTTTAAGTTTCAGTATGTGTCTATGCAGTGGCTAGGGTGTTTCAAGGTCAGAGGTGTCCAAACTCCTTCCGGCAAAGTTTAGCTCCAACTTGCTTCAACACACCTGCCTGGAAGTTTCTAGTATGCCTAGTACAGCGGTGGTCAATGTCGGTTCTGGAGAGCCACAGTCCTGCAGAGTTTTGCTCTAACCTTGATAAAAACTCACCTGCCTGCGGATTTTTAGTAACCCTTAGACCTTGATTAGCTTGCTCAGGTGTGTTTGATTAGGGTGGGAGCTAAAGTCTGCAGGACTGTCCCCTTGTTCAAATACCTACACTTGCGGTCTTGGCCACTTGAGAGCGCATGCGTGCGACAGGAAGCAAGTGCACCAGACTGTCCCAGGTCTTAAAAACGTCAAAGCGCAGTGCCCCTTATGCCGAGTTCACACTGCACGATTTTAGCCCGATTTTTCACTCGCCGACAGGTTTTGTGAAATCGCCGACAAATGCCCGACATCGGAGGCAAATCGGTGCTCGTTCACGCGAGTGACAATCACACAGTGTGAATAATGCTACCCCAGATAGTCACGCAATGTGAAAACAACGGCGATCCGATGAGTTTGAAAATCGTGCAGTGTGAACTCGGCATTAACGCACACTAAATCCACAGTCCGCTCCGGAGCGGTATTCAAGGCTTAGTGTATCCCATCATGCATCATGTTGTGGAAATAAATCGTGAGACTTTTTGCTGAGATCTCGCGAGAGGTCACGGAAACCTTTCCAATGTAGCCTATATTAAATATTATTAATAATTAGATATTAGCTACATATAATTTGGTAGTAAAACAAAGAGTTGCACGTTTTATTGGTGCAAATGAGTAGTGGTGATAATTATTTTGTACAACATTTGCAACTGCTTTTTATCATTTAATTACAAGCATCACAAAATTAAATTGTGTCATCTGTTATAGGGACTACTGAACAGACATTTAAAAGTTGATTTTAAAATGCAAAGTATTGAAAATAAAAATAAAGCTCTGTAAACACTTGGTTTCAGGTAATGAAAAGTTCTACATACACTTGTGGTCTTCATGCTCACTTGAACACTTGGATCAAATACAGGAAATACATCATATAAGTAGTCAAGTGGTCAAGTGCAAAGACCGCAAGTGTGGGTAATTGGACAAAGGGTGTGGCTCTCCAGGACTTGGCCACCCCTAGTAAGATCTTGATTAGTTGGTTCATGTGTGTTCAATTGGGGTTGGAACAAAACTGCAGGACAGTGCAGTGGTCCTTCAGGAGCAGGATTTGACACCAGGTTCACAAGTCTCTATGACAGCAGTTCTAATATTTTGACCCCATGGCCCTCACGTTGTCCACAACAATATTTGAAGGGTGAATGATTTGTCCAGTTATTCATGATTTACTAAGGATTAAGTATAAGAATTTTTACAAATATTTTTTACTTACAATTTCCACCTGAGGCAATGTTTTACAACTTGGCATGACTAGGAAAATGTATATTCATAAAATTTGTAAAAATGCCCATGGAGTTATAAGATTTTATTAATTTACAGTACTTTTCCAGGTCTATCAATCTCAACTTTAGAATTAGACTACTTTATATATTCAGATTTTCCAAGACAGTGGGAACTCTGGTTCTTAAAAAAAAAAAAAAAAGTTGTTAAAGGGGAGAATTAAAATGAGAAATATTATTTGTCTTATTTTAAATAATTTTAAGTCATCTAAATGAAGGAATTGTCCTTTCCAGCCATTTTAGATAAACTGCAGCACACAGAAACACTTAAAGGGGTCATATGATGCGATTTCAAATTTTCCTTTCTCTTTTGCTGTGGATCGCCGGATCAGCTTTCACCGTGGACGAAGCGGAGCTTACAACACTGTTCCAGAACAGTTCAACCCAAATATTCAGATGTGTCCAGCGCATTTTATGGAGGACTGTTTCCTGATCCTGGTAGAGTAGACTACAATGCCGGCTGTTCTGACTCACAGACTGTAAGTAAGTTTTTTAGATGTTCAACTGAAATCCGCAGATGTGTGTTGGACATCCTCATCATCAACAAGCCCACCACCAACCACCTATTTCCCCATTTTTTTTACTCAAGATGTGAAAAGCCAAGAGTCTTATGTATGTCAAACAGCAGTTGTCGTGATGCTTTCCGATTCTAATAGTTCTAATACTTATCCATCCAGGGGTCTTCCCAGATACACCATAGTCACTTCAGTGTTCCCATAGACGGCTGACACAGCTGGAAACAGGCATGTTTTGGGCAGCCCTCGGAACGCCACTCCAAGGAACTCAAAATCTCGTTCAAAGGCTAGTGTCTTATCATCCATGTCTAGGATTACACGTATTCTCTCCCCGATCTGGAAAATAAATACAAGCATATTATAGATACTTCTTTTTTAAGGAAAACTTCATCATTTACTCTCCCTCCTGTTGTTCCAAACTTGTATGCTAGCATTTTTCCCATCAAAAGGAGGTGAGAAAAGGAGATGCAAAAATGAAAGTGAAAGTCGGAATTTGTGCTCTACATTTAACCCATCCAAGTGCACACACACAGCAGTGAGTAGTGAACAAACACACACACATACATGAACACACACCCGGAGCAGTGGGCAGCCATTTTTGCTGCGGCGCCAGGGAACATTTGGGGGTTTGGTGCCTTGCTCAAGGGTCAAGGGTCTTACCTCAGTCATGGTATTGAGGGTGGAAGAGAGCGCTGGTCACTCACTCCCCCCACCTACAATCCCTGCCAGTACCGAGACTCAAACCTGCGACCTTTGGGTTACAAGTCCGACTCTCTAACCAATAGGCCACGACTGCCCCTGGCAGTTGGAATTGACAGATTTCACAGAAAATTTCACAGGGTATGATAGGAACAGACATCAAACTGTTAGCTTCAGACATCTTATTCCATCTAGTCGGAGGATTTCAAACATGATTTAATATTTGAAAGAGTCGATTTTTAGAACACGTTATTTTCGTGCATTTGTGCAGGTTTGTTGTTTTAGGAATGACTTAAAAAGTCATAAAAAATGTATGTGAGATCCTCATTCATTTTGTGTATGGCCAGTTTGTCTCTGTAACCATTTACAAAGTTGGGCAGTGATGCCTAGTGTTTTAAAATCTATTACAATTTTAAATGTTGTGTAGTGTATTCTGTCTTCTGCAGCAATACAATACCTTTGTGCAAACAACAATTCTCAAACAAGAGATTCTCAGCGAATAATAATTCCTCACAAAGTTAAAAAGCAGCTTTGGAAAACTTGGAATATAGTGCACGAGTCATATTACGACTGCTTTTATGGTGTTTTTTTCCATTTTTGGAGCTTGACATCTGTGGTCGCTATAAATGTTGTTGTATGGACTGCACAAAGATTGCTGTATAAAAATTATTCTAAATATCTCCTTTTCACAGAAAAGATAACAGCAAAAATAACAGGTTTAGAAAATGAGTGAGAAAATAATAATGACAGAATTCAAAAATGTTTAATTATCTCTTTAAATTAATTTAAAGAGATCATTTAAATAATTACGAACAAATAATGCTAGTGAGACAGCTTTAGTATTAAGACCAGTAACTAAGTTAGATGTTGAAAAGGTAGACATGTCTCTTAAGTCCTCAAGGGCTAAAGATATCTATGGTATAGACACACTTTTATTGAAACAAATTAGTTCCTCAATAGTTAACCCTTTAACACATATTATTAATAGTTCATTAGATTAAGGGAGATTCCCTACCTCTTGGAAACCGACGTTTGTGGCCCCTAAATTTAAGGGAGGTGACCCCTGTTTAACCAGCCATTATAGGCCAATTAGTGTCCTCCCCACAATATCAAAAGTTTTTGAAAAACTGGTGGCTAAACAAATTATTGACCATTTTAATAATAGTCCTTTTCAATTACATCCGATGCAGTTCGGCTTTAGGATAAATCATTCAAAAGAAACGGCTACTTGTTATTTTATTGAAAAGGTAAAGGCATTAATGGATAAAGGTGGAGTGGTAGGAGCTGTATTTCTTGATTTACAGAAAGCGTTTGATATTGTAAATCATAATATTCTTTTACATATATTACTCAATTTTAATTTTTCGACAAAATCTTTAAGTTTAATTGAATCTTATCTCTCCTCCCGTTCTCAGGTAGTAAAAATGTATAATTATAAATCCAATTCACTATGCCTTTCAACTGGTGTTCCACAAGGGTCCATATTGGGGCCAATTCTCTTTAGCATGTATATGAATGATTTACCCACGGAGTGTCAACAATGTAATATCATAATGTATGCTGACGATACAGTCATTTTCACGCATGGTAAAAATGCAGAAGAGGTTGCAAATAAGTTGACAGATGTTCTGGCAAAAATCATATCCTGGCTCAATCAGTGTTATCTGAAATTAAACGTGTCAAAAACAGCTTGTATGTTCTATTCTAAAGGACATAGTGTTGATATAAAACAGGTTATTTTCATTTCGGGAGAGAGATTAAAAGTTGTTTCGGAATATAAATACTTAGGGGTTCATTTGGACTCATGTCTTAGTTTTAAAATGCATATAAAAAAGGTATGTAAAAAGGTAAAATTTTATTTAGTTAATTTTCGAATTATTAGAAACTCTTTATCAAATGAGGCTGCAAAGGTATATTTTCATTCTATGATTCTTTCTCATATTACTTATTGTCTGACAAGCTGGTCTAATACACATGCTTTTGTTCTAAAAACTTTGGAATTATTGTACAAACAAGCACTTAAAATTTTAGATTAAACTAATTTAGTTTTCACCATTGTCATATCTTAAATACGTATAACCTGCTTAGCTGGGAAAACATCACTAAGTATAAAAATGTTTGTTTAGTTTATAAGATTATGCATGGTTTAGCTCCTCCTCTGGTTGATTTTATTAAATTTAAATCTACTGAAAACAGAGTAACTAGAGGTGCAGCTAAAGCTGATTGCATAATTCCACATAGAAAAACCTTGTTTGGTCAAGCTGTTTTCTTTCTCAGAGCATCACATCAGTGGAATTCAATACCACAATCAATTAGAGAATGTACATCATTTAACTCATTTAAGCATAATTTTAAGAAATGGCTTCTTCATAACCAACAATGTGAACATTAATGTTGTTTATATATCTTAATAAGCTGCTTTCTATTTAATTTTTTTTAATACATATTTCTTTATTATTTTATTGTCAGTTTGTATAATTTGTTGCTTAATTTTTGGTTGAATTTCGTTTGTCATTGTTTTTTCTATTTTGTTAAAAAAAAAATTTCCCCCTTCTAGTTTTTTGGCCTAATAACATCTGGCAAAGGGACTACCAATGAAAACTAGCCTTTGGGCTAATTTGGGTACATTTACATTCATGAATGTTGATTAATGTACACTATCCCTTTTTTTTTGTGAAATAAAAATAATAATAAAAAAAGAATATTTCACCTAAAAATTACAGGTCTGACATCATTTACTCAATGTCATGTCATTCCATTCATAGTTTGCTTTCTTCTGTGAAACACAATAATGTTTGAATGTTTATAGAATGTTTCAGCTGTTTTTGTCCTTCTTATGATGAAAATAATACAAAAAGGGCATAAAGGTAGCGTTAGACTAACTCATATGACTTGGCTGGTATATTTTAAGTTACTTTAAATAATAAACAGAATTGTAAGCCTTTTTTCAATTTCAAATTAAATCAAAACATATATAGTGTATGGATTTTGTAAGAAAATTGTATCATCGAGCATCGGAGTCTGATAGCTTTGACAGCTGAGTGTCCAACATTTCACACATAGTCTTTTCAGTTATTTAAGTGCATGATGATCAGGGTACTTGAAATGCACTTTTTCTTTTTGGAACTTTCGGTATGAACAATTACACTATTTATACTACAAAATGGCATAGAATAGTGCATAAATACGCATATTGGGATGCACCTTACGACTATATCAAACATGGCGACAAACCTAAAGCATTCTCTTTTGTTTTTTACAGAAGAAATGACATGAGGGTGAATAAAAGATGACAGAATTTTTAGGTGAACTATCCTTTGGAATGGCACGTTTTTTTATGTATATATACAGTGGGTACGGAAAGTATTCAGACCCCCTTAAATTTTTCACTCTTTGTTATATTGCAGCCATTTGCTAAAATCATTTAAGTTAATTTTTTTTCCTCATTAATGTACACACA